TCTGTTATGTCCCCCCCCCCCTCCACTAGAACTTAAGTCCCGCAGGGCAGGCAGGGATCTTTGTTTTATTCATCAACAGGTCCCAATTAATATAATCTCAATATGCCTGGAACAGAGCAGACAATAAATACACGAGTGAGTGCTGGGCTGCGAGCCCTGTGGAGGACGACAGCAGCTGTGGGCCTGATCCCAGGGAGCTGCAGGGGGCCAGGGTCAAGTTGCAGGGAGGTGGGAAGGCTGGGACTAGGGCTCCAGCACTGTGCAGGGGGCCAGGCTCAGCTGGGGACCCCAGGAGCTCGGCTGAGGCTGAGCTGCCCGTTCTGTTCTGCCCCGGGTGCAGAAAAAGAGTCGGGAGGAGTCGAGCGGTGAGGGAAGTGGTGTGGAGATCCTGGCCAACCGGCCCTACACGGACGGGCCCGGCGGCAGTGGGCAATACACTCACAAGGTGTACCACGTGGGCTCCCACATCCCAGGCTGGTTCCGGGCGCTGCTGCCCAAGGCCGCCCTGCAGGTGGAAGAGGAATCCTGGAATGCGTATCCCTACACCCGAACTCGGTGAGTGGGTGGGGCAGGCCTGGGGCTATAAGAACAGCCCCGGCGGGCACAGTAGTGACCCCACCCCTGCCCTCCACCCAGGTACACCTGCCCCTTTGTGGAGAAATTCTCCATTGAAATAGAGACTTACTACCTGCCTGACGGGGGGCAGCAGCCAAATGTCTTCAACCTGAGTGGAGCAGAGAGGAGACAGCGCATCCTGGGTGAGGCCTGGGGCCAGTGAGGGGACCCTAGAGCCCCTCTCAGGCCACCTGCCACCTCAGTGGGCAGCCTCTGACAAGTCCCAGACTCTGTCCTGGCCTCGGCTTCCCGGCTGCAGGGAGGAGGTGGCAGGGACGCAGGGGGTCCGTGTGGCTCAGTGCCGCTGGAACCCCCTCAGATACCATCGACATCGTGCGGGACGCCGTGGCCCCAGGAGAATACAAAGCAGAAGAGGACCCCCGGCTGTACCGCTCGGCCAAGACCGGCCGGGGACCGTTGGCCGATGACTGGGCTCGCACAGCGGCCCAGACCGGGCCCCTCATGTGTGCCTATAAGCTGTGCAAGGTCGAGTTCCGCTACTGGGGCATGCAGGCCAAGATCGAGCAGTTCATCCACGATGTCGGTGAGCACCCAGCCACAGGAGGCTCCCTTTACCCAGCATGCACCAGGCCCCCGTGTTCGAGCCAGGGACGCTCCCCGTCTACTGGGGACACAGAAGCATAAAGCCATCGTTTCCACTTGACATGGTGGCACTGAGGCAGAGGGGAACGGCACAGCCTGGCTGGGGGCCGGGGGAGCCTAGCCTTGAGGTGGAGCTAAGAGTCAGGAGGGCAAGAAGCTGGGGGCCTGAGCTCTGAGGTCCACGCAGGCTCTGACGTTCAGAGATGCTGCTTCTCATCCATGAGGCCTCCCGGATTCTCCAACGTTCTGCGGGCCCGGGGAGACTTAGAAACTCTCGGAAGGGTCAGCAGCCCTAACCGGCAACACACGAAGAAGTACAGGCTGTGACTCTGACTGATCCTCTTGGGGTCCCTCCCGCTCCCAGCTCCTCTTCTCACCCTCCTAAAGCTAACCCCGCAGCCCCTGCAGCTCAGCCCTGCCCCATCCCCCAGGTCTGAGGGTGGGCCGCCTGCAGGTCCAAGAACCCCGGATGGGGGCCTCTGGGGGCCTGGGCTCCACGGGACCTCTATTGAGCTACTTTGCGTCTCTGCATCTTTGTTTTCCCTTCTGTGAATGAGCTGCAGGCCCGGCCAGGTTTCAAGAGCTAACATCGACTGAGCATTCACAACATGCAAGTTCCTTTGCCGGTCACTTCTCATGCAAGATCTCCTCTAACGCCCTGACACCCCTCCAGAGTGGGAGCTACGATTCCCATTTTACAAATGAGGGAATGGAGCTCAGAGAATAATCCAGGCTCCTTGTCTTGCGTTTGTAAAAATACCAAAAAGCACAAATAAGAAAATGAAATCACCCACAGATACCCGCTAGTAAGATTCCGATATATATTTCCTTCCAGGAGTTTATAATTATAATCCAACCCTTATTAATTTCTCTCCTAGATATTGAAGCTTCTAACTTTATTCCTCCGCTTAAGATGAAAACATCCCAGAATGGGTATCATCTTTCACTACAAACTTCATTAAGTGCCAACGCTTCCATTAACTATTCACACCTTCATTAACTATCAACAATTTCATTAACTGTTAATGCCTTAATTGTTGACTTCTCGGAAGAAGTCAGCAGGAAGCCAGCTGAAAGACAGCGAGAAGTGGCCTTGGTCCCAGCTGCCCAGAGTGTTGGGGTTGGGTTTGTGCTCCGAGTTGGGGTGTCCAGAGGCACGAAAGAGGCAGGGACAGAGGGAGGGAGCCGGGGCAGGAAGGCAAATGCCCCAGTTTCTATTCCCATCTTCTGGGTGGCACCAGCCTCGCCCTACTCCGTGGCTCTGGGTGGGTGGTGTGCCCAGGGGAGCCATCACCCACTGTAGAGGGCTGGGAATGTTGCTGCCCGGGGCGGGGGGTAGGGGGGGGGGGCAGTGGCAGGGAAACTTGGGCTTGGGGCGCGGGGGGCCATGTTCTGACGCCCGGGCACCTCCAGGTCTGCGTCGAGTGATGCTACGGGCCCACCGCCAGGCCTGGTGCTGGCAGGATGAATGGACAGAGCTGAGCATGGCTGACATCCGGGCGTTGGAGGAAGAGACTGCCCGCATGTTGGCACAGCGCATGGCCAAGTGCAACACGGGCGGTGAGGGGCCCGAAGCCCAGGCCCCTGGGAAGCCTAGTGCTGAGGCCCGGGCTGCGGCCAGCCATGCTGGCACCCCCGACCGGCCCGAGGCACCCTCCGGCCCCGATGCCTCGCCCGATGCCAGTTTTGGGAAGCAGTGGTCCTCATCTTCCCGCTCGTCCTACTCATCCCAGCACGGAGGTGAGGCTGGGGCACGGGGAAGCGAGGGAGCCGCCCTCGGGCCGGACCCCAGGCTGAGACCGAGGTGGCCCTGCAGGGGGCGTGTCTCCCCAGAGCCTGTCCGAATGGCGCATGCAGAACATCGCCCGAGACTCTGAGAACAGCTCCGAGGAGGAGTTCTTTGATGCCCACGGTCAGCACCAGAGCCCTGCTGGGGGCAGGGGTGTCCCTGAGCGGCTCCTACTGCCCCATGACACGGCGCCTTGTCCTTTTAGAAGGCTTCTCGGACAGTGACGAGGTCTTCCCCAAGGAGATGACCAAGTGGAACTCCAGTGACTTCATTGATGCCTTTGCCTCCCCCGTGGAGGCCGAGGGGCCCCCAGGTAAAGACTGCCGGCCACCAGCGCCCTGCATGCAGGGGGCACTCGGCACCGCCCAGCCCTCAGCTTAATGGGGCCCTAAGTTGAGCGCCAATCCAGAGAGAGTGTGCGTTGAACACGCAGGTGAACGATGGGCGGGTGAGCAAGGATAGATGGGGGCTTAGAATGGACTCCAAGTTCAGACATAGCACAAAACGTGGAGGAATTAACCGTGGAGGCCAGGAAGGCGACACGGGCGAGGTAAGATGTGAGCCGGACTTTGAGGGATTGCACCAGCTCCGTCCCACAGAACTTGCAGCCGTGGCGGACATCCACCAGCCACGTGTGGTCTTCCGGCACTTGAACTGTGGCTCGTGAGACTGAGGAGCTGCAATTTGTGTTGTACTTTAATTCCTTCCCATTTAAACAGGCCCCTGTGGCCAGTGGCCACCATATTGGACAGGGCAGGATTAGAAGTTTTCCAGGCAAACGGGCATTGTGGGGAGGAGGCGTCCCTCTCAGCAACGGGACGAACACATGCAAAGGCCCGGCCGCGTGAGATGCCCCGTGAGAGTCTGGTGAGAGAGGTCAGAGGAAGAGGCAGACAGCGAAGTGAGGGTACCCGAAGTGCCGGATGAGGGGACCCCCGCAGGCCCCTCAGTCTCCTTCACTGGCTACCCCCCGTCCTATAGACTCTGGAACCGAGGCCACCAAAGACACCGGGGATGGGGCCCGAGCGCCCAGGGACTCAGAGGTGAGTACGGCCGGCTTCCCCACGTCTGCAGTTCTGCCCCACACCAGGCAGGCTACTGCTCTGACACGCGGGCACCCCATTGTGCCCCACAGGGCCCAGACGGAGCCGGGGAGCTGGGCGCCGAGGCGTGCGCCGTGCACGCCCTCTTCCTCATCCTGCACAGCGGCAACATCCTGGACTCAGGCCCTGGAGACGCCAACTCCAAGCAGGCGGACGTGCAGACCCTGAGCCTGGCCTTTGAGGCCGTCACCCGAGTCCACTTCCCCGAGGCCCTGGGCCACGTGGCGCTGCGTCTGGTGCCCTGCCCACCCATCTGCGCGGCCGCCTATGCCCTTGTCTCCAAGTACTGGTCAGGGGCGGAAGGGCGGGGGACACACAGGGTCTCCAAGGTGCAGATAGCCACCGGGGGCTCCCGGGACCAAAGAGGCCCACGAGGGAAGGGGCGGGGGAGGGGCGAGGCGGGGAGGCCAGCCAC